TTTGGGCTTGCAATGTGAGAATAAGAGAAAATTGCATTTGCACTGGCTGTGACTTTAGACTCCTTAGCTCCAGCCTGCTCGTTCAGTGAAGAGCCCCAGGATTTAGGATGCCCAGAGCCACCAGCAGGCTGTTGGAGCAGAGCAGCGTGCCCGTGCCGTGCTGGTGCCCGCGCCGTGCTGGTGCCAGCACCGCCCGTCCCCGTGCAGCACGGTTGGGCAACGCAGAACAGCTCATGGAAAATGAGAAGCTGCCAAATGGCCGAAGGCTCCTTCCGAGGTGTCTGATGGATCCCTCCTCGAGGAACTTGGGAACTGTTACATGCCGTACCCATGGGCCAAACGCAAGCATCCCAGGCAGGCAGTGCTGACGGGCACCCAGCAGCACCGGCACGGGACCGTGATTCACGGCCACGCCGCGACCGCACGAGGTCGGCACCTGCCGTGGCAAGCAGGTCGCAGACCAGCACCAGAGCTTCAGGATCCCTGAAAACCAATGTCTCGGTGAAGTTAAAGGGAGAAGAACACGTTCCTTGGGGTAAAGGTGCTCAGACCACGCTCGAAATTAAAGAGCCTTACTGGGATAACCCGCCCTGGTTGTAATTCTGCTACGCAGTGCTCTAAAAATAGGCAAAAGGTACTGGCCCAGAGGTAGACTTTGCCCAGCCTCCAAAAATAGACACCCAAAAATAGTAAATCATTACCAAGCAATTGCATCTGGACAACCAATGCAAAACATCCGTGGTAAACGACAGAGTTCATCGAGTTTTTAACTTTTCCCCATTAATTCCTCCAAGGGACGAGCAGATTCCTCTCTCCTTGCCCACAGCAGCCCCGCTATTTTCCAGCCCGCGGCCCAGGATTTTTGCTAAGTAACAGCTGCCACAGCCAGTGCACATTTGCTTTTGGAAGCAAACTGCTGGTTGTGAAGTTGCTAGGAGGTCTGCGCTGGCAACTTGCTCTGGAAGCCTTTTTTTAAGTCCTAAAAAGGGAAGGCTTGGAGGAGAGGCGAGCGAGAGGGGCCTTCCCTCCGGTCTGCAGGGCTTCACACCTCCAGGGACCTACGCTGCAAGCTGCCAGCCCGCAGGAACCGTTCAACGGGCCCCCCAGCAGTACATCTGTCGCTTTGAGGCCCCTCCACGGGGGGATTTCTGAGCAGCAGCTGCTCCTGTGAAGCTCGGCTCCTTCGGGTTTCGGAGAGCAACAGGAAACGCTGCCAGCAGCTGTGCTGCCCGAGGACAGAAAGCACCAGCGGCCCCCGCGCAGCACCGCCGGCACAAAGGACCTGTGCACGAGCAGCTTTGTGGGTGGAAGGTGCAACTCTAGACCTGTTGTCCTGTAAGAAATAATTCCTAATTAAGTGTACAAGGTCCTACAAAGCCATCAGCTGAGGTGAGCAGGGCAGCTAGCACGGAGCTGCCTGCATTCCCACCCCACGCCGGGGTGCTCGGAAGCACAGGTTCCTACACGATCCCACATTCCTGCTCAGGCTTTGTTTTTCCTCGGAACAAAAGAGGAAAAAGTTCAAAATAAGCCCTGCAGACAGCAACATTCCATTCGCAAGAGTTCATTCTTAAAAGGAACGGGACAAACTAATTCCTCAGTAAATATTTGGGGTTGCAACTCCGCTTCGCACCATCTCCTTCAACACTTCCAAGGGTTCAGAGAGCCAGTAATAGACTCAGGACACCAGCCCGTGGAAACAACAGGACTTATTTCAGCAGTAACAGAGCTATTTTTAAAAGTTTTACTTATGGGATGCCAATTTCCTCAAGCTGTTTGGAAAATGAAATGTAAAAACGTACAAACACTAATGGAACAAAAATGTGCTATAGCAACAGCCTCCTCTTGCTAGGAGACACACCAGATATGTTCCGGACTTTCCGATTCTCTTTCATCCCCAAATCACCTTTTCCTCCTTTTAGACAACAGATCAAGAATAGCAACCAAAAAAAATCGCTATGTCTGTAGCAAAAAATAGTTTGTTTATGGAGAAAGTTTGTTCCTATAAAAAAAAATCTGCCAGTTTTAGCAAATGCCTCCAGCTGTTCCAAAGAGATCAAACCAGGGACAATGCACATCTCCGCTCTGGGGATGCTCACGTTTAATGTAATTAGATTAGCTCAGTGTCTCTGCCAAGCAAATAAGCAACACAAGAAGTCCTTTTATGTCGCTGACAACCTCCTAAAAATCGGAGGAATTTTAAAATGTACACCAACCCAACAACTGCTTGCAACAGGAAGAGGAGGTGAAAGAGTATCCAGCTGAAGCAGCAAGGGAGAATTCATTACGCTGTAAATACCAAAGCGAAACACAGATGGGATACTGAGGTTTATAATTCTTAAAGTGCCATTATAAAAGTGCACACAGGCATTTGCTGTTCAATATTATGACAGGCATTCAGCCGGGTAACGTATAGCTATTTTCATAGTTGCACCAACAATTCGAGAACTGTTCCAGTAAAACAAACACGAAACATCAACAGGCTGTTGACTTCAAATCACTGAAAATGCCACTCAAAAAAAAAAAAACACCACGATGACAAACTAGCAGTGCTTCCAAGCTAGCACTAAAGCACTCCCCGGGGAAGGGATCTTTCCCCTTTCCTACAAGACGGATAAAGTTCAGTCTGTTCTGCCATTACAGCAAGTGAAAAGGGAGCGAAGAAAAAGGTCTCCTCGAAGGAAGGGAAGGGTTTAAAAGCAAGGTTAATTGCTTGGTTTTAAATGTGGATATTTCTCCTGGGATACATTTTTATCTCAAAGCAACTTCTGAGGTTATTTCAATGTGCTTTCATGTTATACAAGCGCCCTATCTTCTAGAGGCTATCAAGCAGCTTTATATAGCCAATTAGCAAGAAAACCAAATAAAAGCCATAATGAACCCTGAGAAAACGGGGTGCTCTTGATGCATCAGTGATCACAAGGCCAGGGAAGCATTTCTGCAAGACACTAATCGCCAACAAAGATGTCTTCGTGTAAATCTAGGAACTAAACAAAACTCGACAGGATTAAACCCAGCTTCCTAAATACCAGAAAGGTGCTGAGGGTCCCACCAGGCAGCGGCGACCTGCTGGCTGCTCACCACGCAGAGCTGAATGGAGCAAAAGGGGTCACAAACGGCTCCTGAGAACAGAAGCCAAGTCCAGCAGTGGCGACTCGTTCACAGCCCTGCTTCAGGAATGGCTTAAAAAGGGAAAAAAAGCAGGCGTCGGGCTGGAGAGAGATGCATGCTTACATACTTCAGTAAAAATCTGCCTCTTCAGTGAAGAAAGATTTGCTTTTGAGATGGAGACTGGCACAAGCATTTCCTGCTTGGAGCCCTGAGGCGATATATTACAATATAACAACCTCCAGCAGTTTTCCTTTTTTTTTTGTTTTTCTCCCCGTTTTCCTAATGTTTCGAATTAACTCTCCAGTCCACCCTGACTCACAGCAAGGCTCAGTGCTGATTCCATGAAAATCGCTCCCTTCTTGGAGGAGACACCAAGTGCAAAAAGTAGGGCAAAATGACGCAAGTGGAACCGACAGGCGACATTTCTCATGAAAGTGAGGCAACAGGAAGCACCGCTGTACTCCTGCCACCACCCGGGGAAAGGACGACCAGCCACATGATAAAACACAGCTCCTAATACATTTGCTAATGAGCGTGCCAGTCAATTACTCATTGCAAATTGATTTAAGGACTTAGGCTCTCTCAGCTGTCTGGAGACTGACGCTGCTGCTCTGATCACGAGCAGCTCACGCCTGGAGCTGCAGCGCGGTCCAGCTGCCAGGGACACACTGCCCTCTCTTGGAGATCCCACTCAGAACCCAGGCTCCCAAACCAGCCCTGCAGAAGGATGCTGAAGACCAAAGTGCTGCTGGCATCTCTCAAAAACTCAATTTCTACCACTCAGGGACAACAAGCTACCTGATGGATTGCTTTGAAGAAAGAAGAGTGAATGTCTGTGGGAAGAGCTGCGGTCAAGGTAGGCCAGTTTTAACCGATAACCTTGAAGGTGCCATCCTACCAAAACTTTAATCTTTTCACCTGGAATGAAAGGCAGATAGCACGTGGCACAATTGTGCCTTCCCTGGAGTATATTGTAACAGATAAAAAGTGTGGTGATGCCATGTTAACAGTCATCAAAGAATGTAATGTATTAAAAAAATAATCCAATTTACAGACAACAGCTACCTTAGGGAATCAGGTTTTTTTGTGACCTTGGGGTAATTTTAGACACTTGACATCCTACTGATGGACTGTGAGCAGCTAAATACCCTCACAGAAATGGACTTCTGTGTTTCGGTTCCCCAGCAGTGAAGCAGGAGCGGTCTCCACCTGAAAGTTGGAGCTAAGACCAGAGGCTACTGCTCAAAGCAGCGCTCAGAGGCCCCAGTGTACCACTGGCAGCGGCAGCCTTGCTGTCCTGCCATCAGAAAGCTGCAATTGTTACCGCTACCTAAGGTGCCTGAAGTTTCATCATAATTTATCGAGCAGCCCTCTCAGGAACACAGCCTTCAAAGACAATTATTTAACCACTCACCCCTCGCATGACTAAGGGACCAGCTGATGCAGGGTACACGGAGATCTAGCACTTAGTGCTCTTGACAGAAAAGGCAGTTCAATTACTGCCCTGCATCCGGCCCTGAAAAAGCACCTTTTCAGCCCGAAAGCAGGGTGTACAGAGGTGCTCGCTGCAGTGACAGGATTGTAAGCGGCAGGTCTCGATGCACAGGGCAGGAGCAGAGCAGCCCTTCCCGAGGCTGCTGTGTGACTGACCCTCAAGTTACAGCCTTTCAAGGAACAGAATAAAACATTGCAAACGCCAAATGTTTGTGAGTTGTTACCCAAGCAGAGTTGAGGCCTTGGTCAAACCACCTCCAGGTGACTCTGAGCGTGCTGCTAGCCTCATAAGACATCCATGGTTTGGGGATTCAAGGATAGAGACCTGAGGAGTTAACTGGGAGGCAGGAGGGATGTTTTGGAAAGCTTTTTGGTGTGCTGCTGCATGAACATACCTGGTTAGGGAGCGTTCACCCTGCCGCCTTCAGAACAAAGGCAGATGTGCTCTCTGGCTTGAGAAATGGCCGGTTCTCCTAAAAGAAAGGAAACAGAGAGAGTTTTCAGCAATTAAAACGTGACTGCGGGGAATGCTTGCTACTCTGCGAACATCAGGCTTTGATCCAACCGGCTGAAACACCTCACATCTTTATTTTAATATTATTTTTTTTAAAGACAGCAGACATCACAGCCATCCAGCTACAAAGCCCCTTCTCACGCTGACAGACGCAGGCAGTACGTTCTCCCTGCATGAAACCACGCCGGAGCCGGCTCTCAGGGAACTATTTCGGGTCACCTCATAAGAATGAGGGAAACATCACATGGATTCACGGGTTAGCAAGCCAGCAGCTCTGCTGGCTTTAATGCTGATGGGAGGCACAGCACCTGTCTGCATCCAGTGCAGTTCAGGCTCGAGTCTGAAGATGGCCCCATGCTCACAAGGGATGCCAGGCGCTCCTGCCTCCCTGCGCAACACCCAAAAAAAAAATATCACCGGGCACACAAAGAGCGGAGAAATATTCCGAATGCTTAGTCAGCCATCAATCACATGTTATTTGTCACACGCTGACAGCGGAGATGCTGTGAAGGCAAGGAAGCAGTCACATACATGCATTGTATATTTCTAAAGATGTAAGGCTGCAATACAGAAGCTACAACAAAAGAAACCAGAGAAAAATAGCATGAGCAACTCAGGGAAGTCAAAAAGAAAGAGAATGACAAAGATAGATTTAACTAAAGAAAGGGAAGGGGAAGGCATATCTGCAGTATTTCATTTTTTGTTCCTCCTCACAATGATCAAATTAAAAAGCCCACACACTTAAATTAAGTACAAGTTAGAGGGGAGTTGGAAATACAGTCATTCAGAATCACTATTTAGGTTAGGAAAATTGCTGCATTATATTCCTTTGTCAAGCGGCAGATGATGAAATCTGCAGAAGAAAATGCGGAATTTGGACCCATCTCACACGAAGCCAGAAGGAAAGCTGGGGGGCATAGGGACGGGTTTCTGAGCGGCCCCGAGGAGCCTTGGCCCACCACGTTTTAGGCCCCATCACTACTTTATTTTTATTTATTTTTTAGACAACCGGATACGCGATGAACATAAAAACCAGAATTGAGGCGGGGGAGCAGGGCACAGTTAGAGCTGCAATTTTTCTTTGCTCAGGAACCTTTGCTGCATTTAATTCATACACTCGAGCACACCTCTGATAAAAACCCCTGTCTCCACGGGCTTTGAGCAGGATTTGTCCCTGACGTGGCACCCCACCGCCATTTCCCCTCCTGGGCCCGAGGCCTCAGCTGCCACCACAGGGCCCGAGGCCCAGCGAGACCCCTCAGGGCTTGACCCCCGACAAGGCCCCGCCATATATTAGCAGAGAAATACCCTCCAACACACAAGAGAAGGAAGCACAAAGGGAACAGGGAAAATTAGTGTTATTATTTTAGGCAGCCACGGGCTTCGGCTTCCTTTAAGGTGTGATCAAAGCAGCAGGCGTGCCGGCCTGTCCTCTGCGAGGGCAGGTAGCTGCGTAGCTTGTTTCCAGAGGGAATTGTTTAACGTCTAATCATTAACAGCAAAAAAACACCCCAGATAAAAGTCAGCCAGCGATAGACCAAAGCAATGATGCATTTCAAGTCAGCAGAGTCATTACAGTCACCAGGAAGCGCGGGATGTTTGCTTGTTCCTGTTATGGCCCTACCATGTTTCCCCTGCAGAGGGGACAGCTTCGCAGGAAACAATATAAATTAGAATTAGAAGTAGTCATCTCTTTGTTCTTCCAGCCTCTCTCCAAGCACCACGAGCAGCAGCAGCAGGACCAGGCACGCTCGCACGGTCGGGCATTTCAAGCTGCTGCTGCCATTACATGGCGAGGGGTGGCGGCGGCATCACGAGCCTGAACACCACAGGGGCTGAGTTGGAAAGGGGCCGATGTCCACCAGCCTGGTCACTCACTGGCACAAATCCCAGCCCCTACGGCACTGGGAATCCCCAAGAGCCTGGCCTGAAGGAGGCACGGGGAAATGAGGGGCGCTGACACATGGCTTTGTCATACACCAAGCGCAGACATGGTGTATGTGTCTGATGGACACCGGTCTCCTACCTACAGCCTTCAAGCATAAAAACGGGGTGGCCAACGTGGCTCTGACACTGCTGTCAGGTGCAGCATGAGGGCAGGAGGAACTTTGAGTCCTCTCAGCTTCTCAGGGAGTCTTCAGTACGAGGACACCCATGGGACTGGCCCACAACGTGCCATCACCTGCAAAGGGAGGCGCTCAGCCCTGTCCTATCATTCCTGGGTCAGAACGCAGAGAAGCAAAGGGAGCAGAACCCCCTACCCCTCCTCGAACACCCCTGGGTGCCCCCCGAGTGCAAGGACATTGATGAGGTGAGGCAGAAAATAATCCCAGCACTGGGCCACTGCATCTCAAGGGGACGCAGAGCCTTCTTCTTCTTCCCTGCCAGAGGTGTGTGGACTCCAGGGATGAGCATGAAGGAACCACACCAGAAGTGCCACCTGCATCGCCCCCACTAAAACATTCCTCGTATGTTTATCATTTCACCCTCTCCCAAAAAAATACTTAAAATAAGCATAGCAGCACCCTCCCTGCCCGGCTGCTCTGCTTTACCATGCATTCCAGGAGCTTCACGCTGAAATCCCAAGAAAAATGACTTGGGATTATGATATGGCACCAGAAAACAAAACACTCACTGGTTTTAACGGAGCCGTTCGCCTATTCGTTCTTAATCTCCTCGCTCTATATTTATAGCGAAATACTCAGATAACACGCAGCTATGCCATGCTTGAGGGCTCCACGCAGAAACAGGCTTCTTTAACGCATATTTAGAAAAGGGGTATCTGAATAATACCTGGCCCTTTTGCAGTTTCTTTTAGCAAAAGCTCTCAAAAAGCAATAGCTTGTTTCCCTACTAACCTGGTGCTGAAAATACCAACTGCCTCATTATAATCGTGTTACTGCTCCTAAAAAAACGTAATTGGAGACTTGGGAAGGAACTGAAACGTGCTGCCCCAGAGCACTGCCCTAGCGCGAGCGGTGCTCTTTGTGCCACCGGGAACATCAGCCCTTCACCCGCAGACACGATGCAAAGCCAGAACCAACACGTACGCAGGGTCCTTACAAGGTCAACTGAATTTCAACTCTGCTTTTAGCACCTCTGTACGACAGCTCAGGCGTCCTCACCCGGACCTGCTAATGAAGCTGCAATCAGCACGCAAACCTCGTAAGATCAGAGCAGCAGCCACTATCGGTAGAAACCTGAAAAAGCTTCAAATGGCACCAAAAGCCCACTCCTAGCGAGAGCTGCTCCAGCGCCGCACAGCCAAGGAAGCAAACTGATATTTATACAAATGGATTAGAGCTGACTCGTCCATAAATCACAGATTTATGATTCATGCAAAGAAATCAGCAAATTCGCATTCACGGACAGGGACTTGCCAGCTCTCGGTGCGCAGGTGAGAGAGGTCACAAATTTATGAGCTCTCACTTACGAGTCCATCCCTCTCCAGCACATTTACACAGCTCGTGAAACCTTGAGGAGAGCACTTGTAGACAGGTCTGCCAGTGAGCGTTTGGCTCCCTGGATCCTTTACAATGCTCATTTCCTCCGGTCGAACAGAAACGCATGCGGGTGGCAGGGACAAGCATTAGATCATGCAACAGGTTCACCTGCTCCTTAACCTTCTCCTCCAGCAAGAAGCTCTGGAATAAAAGCTTAAATTAGGATGCTACACTACACACTGCGGCGCTGGAAGGGAGGTGCAAGAATCGAGAGCAGAAGCACTGTCAGCTCACATTACCCTCTGGTTTTCCTAGACAAAATTAAACAGCGGTAGTGAAAATGGCTTTTTACTTCAATATTCTCACTGAAGCTTGGTCTACGGGCCACAGGACAAAGTGCCCTACCACGTGAAAACGTAAAACACCAAGTTTTAGGAACTCTGCAATTTACTCAGTGCTACCAGTATTTGGAAGAGGAAACACTCCTGGTCAGGCACAACCTTCCAGCAAGCTGATGCATCAGCAAAAAATTAAGAACTAAGGGTGGCGTGGGCAAAAGTCTCTCAAATGTTCCAGGACTACACGGCAGTGTCCGAGCCCACCCTCGTTCCCACCCCACAGTTATATCCTGTTTTTTTATCAGCACAAGGCTGCAGGCTGTGCCCTCGTTTCTTGGTTTGAAGGAACGGGAATTTACATCTTCGCACCAAGCACTGCAAGCAAGCAGCCAGCAAGATTGAAACGGAGCCAGCACACAGGTTAGGCTCCCTCTCACAGTAATTAAAAAAAGCACTATATTTGATTAACTTTTACCTCGTATGCACTTAAAAAAAATTCCAGCAGCGTTTGGGTAACTGCTCAGGAGGCGGCCACGTTGCTCTGCCCGGTGGTCCCAAACCCAGCCTGTGGGGCATGGGGTTAGCAGGGTACGATCAGTCCCGCAGGAATTTCAACCCGTATTTACCCCGTATCACAGCGGCACACACACGGGGAGAGTGCAGGAGGAAGGCTTCACTTACACAGCCAACAACAGCCTCAAGATTGACACGATTAAATCAAGGAGCAAGGGTTAAGTGCACGAGGCCAGCAGTTCGAGCAAGTCCTCAGGAGCTCAGCTGCTGTGCCGGAGACCCCTCAGCTTCTCGAGGTGCCTCCACATGTGGACTTTGGCCCCAAAATGCCTCGTGGGTGCCTGGCAGGACCCGCACGGCGCTGAACCTTTGAGCCACCAGCCCCAGCAGCCCCTCAGTGCACCGGGAGCTCTCAACAAACTCCCTACACCATCAGCAGCTTCGTTAAACCCCGGCTGAGATTTCCTGCCCCTCTTCCTGCCCACCCTGGGGACACTCACATCTTCCCAGCGCTGCCACAGCTTCCCTTTCCCTCCCCAAACCCGGGAGCAGCAACTCGGGAGCAGCCGGCTCTCAGATCGCAGCGGTAAGCGCGAGCAGGGCTTCGCCTGCAGCCAGATCGTGTTTCACCTCCCGAATAACAGCAGATACCCGGCTATCCAAAC